AATCAAGGTGTTGTTACAATCGCAAGATCTTTGGGACATTGTTGAAAAAGGTTACATCGAGCCGACTACGGAGGAAGAGCAAGCGCTTAATGATGCTCAAAAGGCAGTGCTTAAGCAATCAAGGAAGACGGATAAGAAGGCCTTATTTCTTCTTTACCAATGTATTGACGATAATACTTTTGAGAAGATTTCTTCCGCGACCACTTCGAAGCAAGCTTGGGAAATTTTGAAGAGTTTGCATAGAGGAATTGATAAAACAATTCGGGTTCGTCTTCAAATATTGCGAGGTGAATTTGAAAGTTTGAATATGAATGGAGCCGAGTCAATTTCGGAGTATTTTTCAAGAACTTTGGTGATTGTGAATCAAATGCGAAGGTATGGAGAAGATATTGATGACGTTCGTGTTATTGAAAAAATACTACGAACCTTAACTCCAAAATTTGAGCATGTTGTTGTAGCCATTGAGCAGTCCATGGATTTCAAGACTACAAGTGTTGATGAATTGATGGCGACATTGGAAATACATGAGCAGCGTATTAATAAAAAGACTCCAAATTCTCTTGAACAAGCTCTTCAATCCAAGTTTTCTTTGAAAGATGAAAACAGAGAATTTCAAGGTGGTACATCTCAAAGAGAAAGAGGTAATGGAACACGAGGTAAAGGTTATGGCAATCGAGGAAGAGGCTACGAAGGTCGTGGAAGAAGCTACGCTAATAGAGGAAGAGGTGGAAGAGGTCAATTCACTAATGATACAAGAAATCAAAATTCTTATGGTTCGAGAGGAAGAGGACGAGGAAGAGCAAGAGGTAATTACAACAATCAAAGTTTTGACCAGAGAAATGTTGAATGCTTCAATTGTCACAAGTTTGGGCATTATAGTAATGAATGTTGGGCAAGTAAAAATGTTGAAGAACATGTGAATTATGCTGAGAAATCAAGTAATAAAGCGGGATCTACTTTGTTGCTGGCCTATGATGGATCCGAGGAAGATAATGGCAACGTGTGGTTTCTTGATTCCGGGGCAAACAACCATATGTGTGGCCAGATGCATATGTTCGTAGAACTTGATGAAGTGGCGCAAGGCAAAGTTACTTTTGGCGACTCCTCCAACATTCCAGTGAAAGGCAAAGGTAAAATTCTTATTAAGCTCAAGGATGACAATCATGATTTTATTTCGGATGTCTATTATATGCCGGATATGAAGAATAGCATTTTGAGTTTAGGGCAACTTTTAGAAAAGGGCTATGATATTAGCATGAAGAATCTCCACCTTACAATTAAAGATGCTCGTGGTAATTTGATTGCTAATGTGAAAATGTCCAAGAATAGAATGTTTCCTTTGAATATTCAACATGATGCGATGAGATGTTTGAATGCTATTATTAAAGATGATTCTTGGTTGTGGCACTTGAGACTTGGACATCTTAATTTTGGTGGCTTGAAGCTTTTATCTAGCAAGAAAATGGTGAAAGGTCTACCCTACATAGATCATCCGGATGAGTTATGTGAAGGGTGTATTCTTGGCAAGCATCAAAGATTAAGCTTCTCAAGAGAAGTCAAGTGGAGAGCATCACGACCATTGGAGCTTGTGCACACCGATGTTTGTGGTCCTTTGAAGCCTATGTCAAATGGTAACAATTGTTACTTTCTTACTTTTATTGATGACTATAGCCGGAAGACTTGAGTGTATTTTTTAAGAAGGAAGTCCGAAGTGTTTGAAGTTTTTAAGGAGTTCAAGAATCTTATTGAGAAGCAAAGTGGTTATTTTATCAAGAGGTTGAGATCCGATCAAGGTGGTGAGTATAGTTCCGATTTATTTGAAGACTATTGCAAGGAGCATGGAATTGTGCATCAATTCACGCCAAGCTATACACCTCAACTGAATGGAGTTGCGGAAAGAAAAAATAGAACTATTCTTGATATGGCTAGAAGCATGTTGAAAGGAAAGAGATTGCCTAGAGAATTTTGGGCCGAAGCTGTAGCATGTGCAGTGTACTTGTTGAATCGATGTCCAACCAAAAGTGTTCGTTTTAAGACTTCGGAGGAAGCTTGGTGTTCATTCAAGCCGAGTGTAGCCCATCTTAGAGTTTTTGGATGCATTGCTTATGCGAAGATTCCCGAAGCAAGGAGGACAAAACTTGATGATAAAGGTAAAAGTGCATTTTTCTTGGGTATGGTGATAGAACAATGGGGTACAAGTTATACAACCCCATTACCAAGAAAGTAATCATGACTAGAGATGTTATCTTTGAAGAGGAAGACATGTGGGATTGGAAAGGAAAAATTTCAGCCACTGAAGTGGAACTTATGCTTGAAGAAGAAGAGTCTGAAGAACCAAGGGAAGTCCAAAGAGAGCCACAGACACCTCCACATGGATCCCCCTCATCTTCTACAGGTGAATCATCATCATCATTAGATTCAAGTTCAAGTCAAAGACCAAGGAAAATGAGAAGTTTGCAAGAGATATATGAATCTACGGAAAATTTTGAAGGTAACTTGAATTTGTTTTGTCTATTCATGGATTGTGATCCTTTATGTTTTGAAGAAGCGATTCAAGAAGAGAAATGGAGAATAGCAATGGATGAAGAAATGAAAGCAATTGAAAAGAATGATACATGGACACTAGTTAGTCTTCCCCAAGGTCAAAAAGCAATTGGTGTGAAGTGGGTGTATAAAACCAAAAAGGATGCAAATGGTGAAGTCCAAAGATATAAGGCAAGGTTAGTTGCTAAAGGCTACAAGCAAAGGGTCGGAATTGATTATGACGAGGTATTTGCTCCCGTTGCTCGTTTGGAAACAATTAGGTTGATGATTTCTTTGGCGGCACAAAACAAGTGGAAGATTTATCAACTTGATGTGAAATCGGCATTCTTGAATGGATTTCTTGAAGAGGAGATTTATGTTGAACAACCTTTAGGGTATGTGAAGAAGAGACATGAAGATAAAGTGTACAAGTTGAGAAAAGCTCTCTATGGATTAAAGCAAGCACCACGCGCATGGAATGCTAGAATTGACAAATATTTACATGAGAATGTTTTTCAAAAGTGTCCTTATGAGCATGCATTATACATGAAGATGGATGGGAATGGAAGTGTGTTACTTGTTTGTCTTTATGTTGATGACTTGATCTTCACTGGCAATGATCCAATGATGTTTGATGAATTCAAGAGAAGTATGATTAAGGAGTTTGAAATGACTGATATTGGCTTAATGTCTCATTTCCTTGGCATTGAGGTAAAGCAAAGAGAAGATGAAATTTTTATTTCTCAAAGTGGTTATGCAAAGGAAGTGCTCAAGAAGTTCAAGATGGATTCTTGCAACCCGGTGAACACGCCCGTTGAAGTTGGATTGGAATTGAGGAAGAGAATTAGTGGTGAAAATGTTGATCCAACTTACTTCAAAAGTTTAGTTGGAAGTCTTCGGTATCTTACTTGCACGAGGCCAGATATTCTTTATGGAGTTGGCTTAGTTATTAGATACATGGAAACACCAGATCAAACTCATCTTAATGCAGCAAAGAGGATTCTATGTTATATTAGAGGTACACTCAATGATGGCTTATTTTATTCTTACACTAATGATTTTAGACTTGTTGGATATTCAGATAGTGATTGGGGACGAGATTTGGATGAAAGGAAAAGTACATCGGGTTATTATTTTTTCATGGGAGATACGGCTTTTACTTGGTCATCGAAGCAAACAATTGTTACTTTGTCTACATGTGAAGCGGAGTATGTGGCTGCAAATTCAACAGTTTGTCATGCTATTTGGTTGAGGAACTTGTTGAATTATTTGGGATTTTCTCAAGAAATTCCCACAGAGATCCTTGTTGATAATAGATCGGCAATGACGTTGGCAAAGAATCCGGTGTTTCATGAAAGGAATAAACACATTGATACGCGCTACCATTTTATTAGAGAGCATGTGAAAAATGAAGAAGTGAACTTGGTACATTGCAAGACTCAAGATCAAGTTGCCGACATTTTTACAAAGCCATTGAAGCATGATGTGTTTAGAAAATTGAAAATGATGCTAGGCATGAGAACTCAAGGAATTGAGTTTAAGGGGGGATGTTAGTTTTATAAACTCTATTTTTTTAAGGGGTATTTTTTTTGTATTTTTGGGTATTGAAAAGTCATGGTATTTGAAGTGATATATACCAGAAGTGTCCAGAATATTTTTGAGAAGTCTATTCATGTATTTGGGAGACTTATTCATGTATGGTTGCATGGAAAGTTGAACAGTTTTTTCTTGGGGATAGCCAGCCATAAAGTGGCCAAATTTAGAGTGTTTTGGCTAGGAAAAATCAGTATAAAAGGGGCCGCAGTTACTGCCCAAAATAGAGAGTCTCTGTGCAGAAAAATAGAGAGGAAAAAGTGAGAAAACAGTGTGTTTGCTACCTGAAAAAAACAGCAGCTTGTTCATGAGCAGAAGCTCTATTTCTTTGTATTTTCTTGAGTGTTTACTGCTGAAAAATTCTGATAAGTTGCTCCCCATGTATTCCTTGATATTGTGATCATATTTGATGAAATATAGAGATGTTTCTTGAGTGAAATTATTGTGGAAGTGGAGCAGTTTTTCATCCTCTATTTTTGTGCTCTTTAGTAGTTTTTTTTTTTTTTGCTTCTAATTCCCAACAGTTGCTGCACCTGCACCTGTACCAAATGTTGTGCCACATGATGAGTTGTCTGCAGGCCCTCATGTGTGTAGGTAAGACAATAAATAGTTGAACGATTTATTTGTTACTTGTATGTATTGGTAACTAATGTCATATGTGTTTTTTTTGTTTATAGTTGAGATGTTGCATTTTCAGAGCAGCACATCCCTAGTCATGTTCTCAGACATTATAGAGATCAATTTGATCAAATGCGAGATGCGCAGGTATACCAACACTTTCACATAAATTATCGAGTATTTGTGTGATTGGTGGTTTGTTGTTTGTATGATGGGTGGCCAAATATGCTTGTGTTGAGTGGTTTTTCATGTATGTTCCTTTGCAGATTAAAGGATTACAGAGGCATCCGAGATATGGAGCTCGAGTAAAACATCGTGCATACAGAAATATGTATGATGCTCTTGATAGGACTCTACAACAGGAGGGTTTGCACGGCCATATAAGGGCATTGTGCCATCAATTGTCTGCACCTGTTAGTGCTGTTATATTTGTGTCATTCAAGTATACACCCGACTAGCTAGAGTCCATTTTTACTTGAAGCTGACCTGATTTTCTCTTTTCGGTCTGGTTCTAATTCTTTCCTCTTTTGTATACTAGAAAGCCCTAACGGAAGGAAAGAAGGGCCACTTTTAGTTATAGTTGTAGCAAAAATGGAAATGTCAAGGAAAAATCAACAAGCTTTAGAGGGCACAATGGTTTATTTTGATTCTATCTACATTGGTTCACTTCTTGTTGGGTATTTTCTCTATGTTCTTTTGCGTGTATTTGAGGTGGATGTTTCATCGGATCATTGAGAAACACATTGGTGCCATTGGCGCGATTGTAGAACATAATGCAAAATTTTAGTAATGGGGGTGGAACAATCTTCAGGTATGCAGTAAAACGTAAAATTGATAGACACCAATGTACAAGCCCGTATGAGCAAAAAAACTAGATCTCTTCTTCACGCTCATGGAAGCTCTACACCACGGTCTTGAGTGGCTACTTTTTAGTGAGGCAAGCTTCTCAATGTAGTCATTACAAACTTATATGTATCTTCTCGGAATAATTTTATGTCCAATAGCTAGGATATGGTGATGGCTTTCTCAAGAAGAGGCGTCAATTGAATATATAAGCCAAAATAGAGTTTCTATATATCATTGGAAAAATAATTGATAGATCGTTGAACTCTTCTATTTCCATTCATATCCCAATTTGTTAGGTTTTTTTGACTTCTTTCCTTACAAGACGTCAGATTATGATATTTTAAATATCAAGAGTGTTCGAGCCAGTTTATGCGTATATCGACTAATTCTCCTCACGGCTGATCAAAGAAAAATCATTCACGTCGAGATTAGGGTATTCATGAGGGATAAATCCCTTATGGCCTAACCCTAAGTGGTTGTAAAGATTTGAATTTATGACGTCTGAATTTATTGCTCATCATATTCATGTTTACATATTTTAGCCCATGAGTAATGCTATTATTGGAACTTAAAAATTTATATAATAATATATTAACCTAATGAAGTGATTTCGTTGTAATCAGTAGATTAAGACCAAATTCTAATGTTTGATCGAGTCTTTAATCAATTCAATAACTATAGTGAATTAAGTCGACAAATTATGTCTCATTGCATTGCTCTTTAGCCCCCTCCCTTTGGAAAACCCAAGTCTCGCATTGTACAGCACATCAAGTAATACATGAAAATTTATCTCAAGGCCGCGTTAAGTAGGCCCTTTTGCGCTTCTGTTCCTTAGCCGCCCCCCCCCCCCCCCCCCCCCCCCCCCCTTTTGGAAAACCAAAGTCTCGCATTGTACAGCACATCAAGTAATACATGAAAATTTATCTTAAGGACACGTTAAGTTGGCCCTTTTGCGCTTTTGTTCAGTGACATAAATTTGCTGTTCATCCAGCGAGTATAAAACACAGTTTACTGGTTCTGTGTGTGTGTGAAGAGAGAGAGAGAGAGAGAGAGGTTTCTTGCATTACATGAGAAGTGTACGTGAAGAAATAGAATTATTATAGGTGGTTGTTAATTTTGATTTTTTATTTTGTTGTATTTACTTCTTATATTCTCCTTGTTTTACTTCAAGTTTTAGCTTGAATTGCACTCTAGGGTGACATTAGAACTGAAAACTCTCTCTCTCTCTCTCTAGCAACAGATTGCCCCATCTGCACTCAAATACCTTCTCCATCTTTAGTGTATTGCCCTTACTAAAATTTGTTTCTTCTAATTCATATTACCAATTTCAATATACCTTTAGACAGTGTAGAAATGACCCCTAACTACATTTATTCCTCTTCATGTATTAAACTTGAAATCCAAGCAACCTTTTCTCAACCAATCACAATCCCACTAGTCTGTCTCTCTCTCTCTCACACACACACACACACAATTATTTTGAGTGAGAATAAGAAGTTCGAGGAGGTGTAAAGGATATCGCTGTTGAGTACAAAAGACCTAAAAGAGGAGGAAGAAGAAGAATAATTCAATACCTTCACCAACCCTCAGGAACAATGGATTTAGGGGCAACATACTATAGAAGAGACTAGTTACTTTTTTTTCCCTCTCTCCTTTTTGTGCTGTCTCTCCTCATGACTTTGTCCATATAGCATTTCTAGCAGAAGAGTAAAGAAGGGGAGAAACAGTGGCATGAACAAGGAGGAAACAGAAGGAAATGGGTCGTTGCAGTGACTGCAGCGACGAGCGAGACAGTATGAGAAGGTCACCATCATCTATTGACGAAAGTTTCAGAGGTTATAGAACCAGAAGTTGTCCCTCGTGTGGTCATCAGATCAAATGTCAAGACAAGGTATAAATATTACTTTTAATGTCGAAAAATCTCTTCTTAGAATTGTATTAAACCGAACCTTGAAAAATAAATCTCGAATACATACACCAGCTAATCTTAAGTCTAGTCCAAGTCCTAAAGAATTGAACGTAATACATCCGAGTTTGCAGTGCTCCATAGAGTTAACTCGACAATCATGGGTTTTCCTCGCATGTTTATAAATGATTTTATTCTTATTGATTTTATAATGATGATCATGTTCATGTGTTCTTTTTATGATTGAACAAGAGTAGGCTGGAATACATGATCTGCCGGGGCTGCCGGCTGGAGTGAAGTTTGATCCAAGTGACCAGGAGCTTCTTGAACATTTGGAGGCGAAGGTGCGGTTGGATGCTCATAAGCTTCATCCCCTAATTGATGAGTTCATCCCTACACTGGATGGAGAGAATGGAATTTGCTATACCCACCCAGAGAAATTACCAGGTGATATGCAAGAACCCAATAGTAACAAAATTAAATAAGATCTAGAAACTTGACCCGTAGTGCCAAACAAGGTAAAATAACAAAGAGAAAAAGTAATTAGGCTATGAATGCCCGATTGTGATTTGCAGTGATGAACAAAAAGAGCGTTGATCAACTATCTCAAACAATTGAAAAATAAATTAAGATCAACAGAATAGGATCTGCAATAATGGGTCACTATCCTTGAAAAATCTTATCGAGAAAATGAAAATACTGGTGAAAGAAAGGATCTCTTGAAGGGATAACCGGAGTGAAACCAAGTGTTGCAGATCTGTATAACGTCTTCTGTTAAACGTATCATTTTCTTAGAGTTAGTTTTTAAACTCCAGTGAAACCTATGTATGAATCAAGATACACCCCTTGTTTTTAGCTTGATCTATGTTTACAAGACGATACTCGACTTCTACTAAACCATACTCCATCATCTATTTAGTAATATCTAAAAAACAGTCCAATGCAGTTTGATTCAGAATTTTTATAGCCTCATTTGATAGAGTTCAAGACCCTTCTTGGAGAAAAACCTCAGCCACAAGTTCAAGCTTAATATTATCCCTACATGCTTAGGATTAATATGTAACTAGATATAGGTGCGGTAGCTTTGAATAAGCCAATTTCCTCCTTATGTTTTATTAGGTCGCAGGAGAAAGTTATAAGGGTTTTCTATGGGGGGGTCATCAATCTTGTCACTAGAAAGTCACACAGCAATATGTCACTAGAAAATTATAGACTCATCATGCCAAATCTCCGAACGTTTAATTTTTTTTATATAAAAATTAATGTAACGGTTGATAATGTTTTCTCAAACAATATTATTTAAGCAAAAAAGTTTTTTATTACTACATAATATTGATCTATATGAATCTTAGTAGGAAAAAAATAGACATCTATGTCTACAGATGTGTTATACTATCCATACAATCAAGTTTAGAAGAATGAAGTAAGTTAAGGTTAGCAAAAAACAAAAATGCAAATTTATAAAAACAATCATGACTTAAAAGGTTCTTGAAACTGAAAAAATTTCATAAAAAGTATCACCAAGCGTTAGCTAAGATGTGAACAGTTTCATGCTGCATTTTGATTATGCAGGAGTAAACAAAGATGGCCTAATACGACATTTCTTCCATAGACCTTCCAAAGCATACACTACCGGAACTCGGAAAAGAAGAAAAGTTCACACGGACATCGACGGGAACGAAACACGGTGGCACAAAACCGGGAAGACAAGGCCAGTTTTCGTAAAAGGCAAAGTGAAAGGGTACAAGAAGATACTTGTGCTCTACACCAACTATGGAAAACAAAAGAAGGCTGAGAAAACAAATTGGGTGATGCATCAATACCACATTGGCAATAATGAGGATGAGAAAGATGGAGAGTTAGTAGTTTCAAAGGTTTTCTACCAAACTCAGCCTAGACAATGTGGTTCCATTGTGAAGGACTCATCGCCTGCGAAATCAAACGGTCGAAGTGGGCGCGATGATCCTCATCTTAAAGACACTGCCTTTGTTGAATACTGCAATCCTTCTCTCATCTCTTTCAATCAAAGTGAGCAGAATCATTCGACTGCTCGGCTGATTTCAAATTTTAATGTCCCTCGTGGTTCTTTTATTCCTTGACAATGTGAAGAGCCTATAGACTCATGATCCTAGTACTCAGGAATGTAACTATATATGTCCAAATGCAGGTTCAAATTACTTCGCAGTAGCATTGATGAAATAAATTAAAACATTGGTATCTTTTAGGAGGAAGCAAAGGCTGGGAAGAGTAAGAAGGGTTTCTTTTCTTGAGGAATATGGACAAATAATTCTAAGATTGAAGTTGAAGATTTAGCTATGCAGCATTTTCTTATATTCCATGCAGATATTAATTGTATTTGTGCGTTGTGCAAGTAGGACTGATGTCAAATTTACAAGGACTTTGATCTGGGAAAGTGATTGTATATGGTAATGTAACTGTACAGAGATTACATCTGCAATTGTTGTCTCTAATATATATCAGCTTAATTCCTTGTTCTTTTGAACTTGCAACAATATTATGAACTAAAGATGAATTGGCTCTCTCTCTCTCTCTCTCTCTCTCTCTCTCTCTCTCATGCGAATACACATACATACACACACCTCCACCCACACCCACACCCACACATTCTTGCACAGATCTCCACCGCTAGTTAGGAATCATGGATAGTTGCCAGAGGGTGTAGACCAACACACGACTAAGATAGTGTATTTTTTAGGTATTCAAGTGCCCGTATTTGAAGTCAAAATATTTAATTGCATAAATTTTGGCTTATTTTTTGGGATACATGAGGTTTCCTTGTGTAGCTTTCTTAAATATTGATACTGATGGTAAGGGATTGGTAGAGTTTATCATGGAAAGATTTTTACAAAATCAAGCACTCACATTTACTAAGTTGATAATACTTCAAGGATTCGTTTGGTAAACGTATTGTAGGGGGATTAAATATTAGATTATACTATTTTTTATTTAATCGGGCCTAATACTTTGTTTGGTAAGCAAATTTGATACCGTATTAATTTCAAAAACGTATATTGATCGTATATTTTTTATACATAGCTCTGTATTATGGAAATTTTTTAATACCACTAAGAGAGATGATATTATAATCCAACTCAAACGTATTATTCTACACATTTACTATTATAACCTCTTAACTGATAAAATCAAGTTGTCATTGTAGAGTTGCCAAAGAGTGTCGTGACATTGTCAACACATGCTGTTAATAGGGATCGCAGAGGAGACCTCGTTAAACTCGCAGCAAAGAGAACCACATGTTTTTTGTTTTCTATTGTTTTTGCAAACATGAATTTTTTGTTTCCAAATTTTGAGCTTGTTTTCAAAATAACTTAGATGAAAATAAAAACAAAAACAAATACCAAACACATTTTTGTTTATTTTTTTTGGGAAAATTTGAAAACAAAACAAAAAACACCAAACAAAAACACTTACCAAACATACCCTTAAATTCCTGAGCCTAAACCTGTCCCTTGTCTTTGTTCAGTTCACCTATAATTTCTTCCCCTTTCAGCAATGGTAACTGCCCCTAAGGTCCCAAATAATGATACCATAGAATGAGTTGAAACTTTTACCACCTACCTTTAAGCATCTCGAGTGGACTAACCTAATAGCCCATTGTGAGACAAAACTTTTGGGGTCGGAAGTATAATTTCTCTTAGCGAGTTATAGGAGTTAAAGAGTCATTTTCTAAGTAATTAGGGAGGTAAAGGCAACCGGATGGATTGGATGGACAACATCAACCTGAGCAATCAGACTCAACATAAATGTAGCCACCGGAACCATTCTAAAAAGGGAAAAATTAGCATTACTTGGTGAAATAGGTTATTTTACGATCAATTTAAAACCATTTACTAGAGGTTGTAACAATTCAAACGTGGATATGATTTTCGTTGATTAGATTAGTCTTTTCAGCATCTTCTCTAATCTAGTCAAATCAAGTATGAATGATTCCGATGTTGTCATGTTGACTGTACTAGTTTTGGGGGTAAGAACTAGGTCATCCGAGACTGAGATCGGGTGCAAAAGAGATTAGAAGTAACTCGAAGCCCCCGTGACCTTAAATGGAGAAAGAAATGCTTAAGGAAAATACGCCCTCAAAACTGACGCATTGACTTGGAGACACGAGACATTTTAAATTGTAGGAATGCCTTCAATATGCAGAAACTTGTAAAACCGGTGTATGAAAATAGTTAATCCCATGAATTCAACATTAAGAGCATGAAACTAGAACTGATTTGGGGTTCTGCGGCAGGTCAGATCGACCAACCCATGAACTAGTTGGCCAGCCCTCAGCCCAGTGCCTTAGGTTAACTAGCCTCCATGACTAGGTGACTAGTATCCTCCACCAAAGCAAAATTTTTATAATCAGAATCCTATCTTAGATCGATGGAAAAGGCTAAAACATCGTAATCGTAAGATCAGATATGCTTGAAATTTGAAAAACTTCAATTTGAGCATTTGAAGAGGGGTTAAAATTAAAGGTGTATTGTTTAATCTTGTAGGATTTTGCATAGGGGAATAGGAGAATTGAGATATTTTGAAAGACTATTGAATAATAACATTGACTATTCAGCATCCAAAAAAAAAAGACGAAAAGAATAAAAATGACAGATTATCTGGCTATGATCACTCGACGAAAGAGAATATCAAATCTAACTTTTGCTTTTAGTAACTTCAAAGAAGTTTAATGCTTACACTAAGGTTCTCGTGGGAAAGACTCATTAAGATCTAAATAACGAGAATACAATTGATATGCCAAAATGCGAAGGCGGCTAGTCAACACTATCAATTTAAGAATTGACTGAGATAAATATTAAGCGGAAATAAATTACACAAAATAGAGAAAAAAATTGCAACAATCAAAGAGGTGCTACGTATCTTTCACAGATACTTACATGAAAAAAGAAAAAATAAACAATGCCAAAAGGAATCAAAAAAAGAGAAGTGAAATGGGATAGCAGATCATCTATTCATATGAGAAAGATGATCTACCATCCCCAAAATCACAGTGATCTCCATCAACAATATGCAGTCAAGCCCATAAGAAACAAAATGAGGACAAAAACATTGCAGCAACGTGGGACAGCAGCAACGAAAAAGCTTGAGTGCATAGTCATCAAGCATGACCAAAGCAGAGCAGCCAGCAAGTAGGGTCAAGACAAAGCAAAACACATAAAGGCTAAGACAGACGCATATCTGCCCATCCAGTTTCAAGCAGCAACATTCGGAACAGCAGCAAAGAAGGTCAACAAGAACACAGCATGACCACATAAAAAAAAGGCTAGAAAAGGACCCCCTCAACAAGAGAGTTCAAAAATTAACTTTCATGGGGGTTCAAAAATTGTTTCTAGTAGGGACCATTGTCTCTGTCATCTAAGTCCAAGGAAAAAATGATCTGCCATCCCCCATCAAAGAACTTAATCATATTGGGATAAGCATATCAATCCATTTCCTTTAAATCAGCAACAAGGCCACTACTCAGCAACAAACAGCAAACAGAATCAGCAAGCATCTACGGCAACCAACCAGCACAGCAGAATCACGAAGAAATTGCAGAAATAAAAAACAGAGAATAGGGGAGTTCTCCACCAGGCCAGCACCTCACCAAGACAGCACACAGCCACACAAGGGTCCAAAGCCTGGCTAACTTTATTTTGGGCCAGAGATCAATTTTTTTTTCTCTTTTTATGCATGCTAGAACTGTGCTCCATTAGACATTATGTTTAATAGTTCTTCTTTTCCAATAAATTACTTAATCAAGAGAAATATGTTGCATGTGTTTATGTATGTTTTCCATATATCACTTTGTCTACGAAAATTTATTTAGTACAGCCTCTCTCTTGACAATTCTTAGTACCTGCCCGAAAGAAAATTTCGTTGATTCCTTAGTGTTGGTTTCAGTTTGTTAGTTATGAATCTAAAAGACCTTGATGTTTCTTGATTCTTTCTTCTTTCTTTGGTAGAAGCACTTACCTAACTTCTTGTTGTACCTTTTACTTCTTGCTCGCAATTGTTTTGATTTTGTCAACTTAGATGCTTGTTATTAATTTAAACTAGAATAATAAATTATGTCATTCATTAAATTGGGTCCCACTATATATGTCAATCCAAATTTCCTATAAGCGATTTATTATTGATGAAAATCAAGAAAAAAAAATGTAAAACAAATAATAAGAGGGATATGCAATAGGGATTGAACCAAGAAGTTTATTTGGTCTTAGAGCCTACCTGTCCTGTCCTCCCACCATCTTGAAATAGGATTGATATGTTTTTATATCAAATATGATAAGGTACAAAAAATCATTGTATATAAGATATTCAATGTAACAAATGACACCATATCATCAACGTCACGTGATATCACCAATTAGTTATAGAATACCATGTAAACTTAGTAGGTTCCGCTATTTTAAAAACTACCGATAACCACCATATCCAGAAACTACTAATTTAGAATAGTGACATTCACTAATCTTATTTATATTTTATTATTAGTTGATAATATCACGTGTTAACGATAACGTGATATCCCTGTTACGCTCAATTATCTACTTGAAACCTAGAATCAGCACTAACAGGGGATCTGATCAGTGAACCATTTAAGTATTTTAAAAGGAAGCTTCACAAGATCCACCGCCATATTCACAAGTCCAGCACAACAGCAGCAACATGGACACAAACAACTCACCACAGACCTGCGGGTATAGGAATTTTTTGTTTCAAAAAAGGTTAAAAACAGAAGGAAAAAAATTGAACAAAAACAATTCATATGTACAAGGAAGTTACATATTCATGATGGTAGAGTTCAATTAATATTGAAGTTCACTATTAATCTAATAATAAAATTACTACAAGGAAGAAATACTTTGGATATTTTTTGGGTGGGTATTTTATTAGACACAAGATAACAAAAAAGAGATCTTGTTGTACGAATTTAATATTAATTCTTCCAAAGAATAGTAAGAAAAGGCATGATCAATTTAGGAACATACTTTTGTATTGTAAATAAAGTTTTTGAACACCTTGCGGTCGATTCAAAAAAATCATTTGGGGTCGGGCCATAAAATATTTATCCTTCGCTAATACCCCAATCTGTCTGTTTTTTATTAGATCGGATACATATAACCAATCCAAACACCTCTAGCAATTGAATCAAAAAAAAAAAATAGAGTGTATGAAAAGAAGTTAAGATAGCCAGAGAACCATATGGAATGGGAAGGAATAACAGATATCATAATGAAACAACATAAGAAACTATAATGGTTATGAAATACAGAAAGTAGGACAAACATACCCTATGACCCAGAGATTACAGCACCCACAAGAGAGAGAACCACTGCAATAAGAGCAAATGGGAGTCCCACCAAGAATCCCAATGGCCTGCAATCTTCCATTCCTCCAATTCTCCAGAAACC